CGTCCTCGGCGGGCCTGTCAGGCATGCTCGCCGCCGCCGCCGACTTTCTGACGGGCTCGCCATCCGCGGCGCCGCCCAAGCAGCAGCCGCAGCCGCGCCTCGGCTCCGTCGGTGCCGCGTCGGCGGGCGGCGGCAAGCGACGTGGGCTCAACTCGTCGATCCGCGAAAACGGGCGCATCGTCCAGGAGCGGCTTGCCTCGGTGCAGGTGGGCGAGGACGCCTACTTTTTGCGGCCCGACTCGCTCGGCGTCGCCGACGGCGTGGGTGGCTGGGCCTCGCGGCGCGGTGCCGACCCGGCGCTCTTTTCGCGGCTGCTGATGCACTTCTGTGCCGCCGAGCTGGCGCGCTTCGACGACTTCACGGCCGACCAGCTGGCGGCCGAGGGCGGGCGGCTGCTCCACGAGTGGCAGGACGTCGATCCGGTCGAGGTGATGCACACGGCGTGGGAGCGCTGCGTCCGAGCGTCGCGGCGCGAGGGCATCCTCGGCAGCTCGACGGCGCTGATTGCGCTACTGCGCGGCGATGAGCTGCGGATCGCCAACCTGGGCGACTGCGTCCTGCTCATCATCCGGCAGGGCGAGCTCCTGTTCCGCTCGACCGAGCAGCAGCATTCGTTCAACTTCCCCGTGCAGCTCGGCATGATGGGCCACACGGCCGAGAGCGTCAGCCTGGCCGCCGACCGCACGTTGGCGCGCGAGGGTTACCTCCAGTCGGGCGCCAAGGACGACCTCGACGACGAGGCCCTCGAGCCGCTCGGCACGTCGCGCAACAAGCTCCGGCAGCAGGCTGCATCGGCCGCGACGGCGGACGCATCTGCCAACGCCAACGACGGCGATGGCAGCGGCGGCGCCACTGTCGAAGAGGCCGAGTGGGACGAGCCGCGCCGCGACGCGGGGCGCTGGTCGGTCCAGGTGCAGCGGGGCGACATCATCATTGTCGGCTCCGACGGCCTGGTCGACAACCTGTTCGACGAGGACATCGTCGAGGAGGTCCGCCGGTTCGCGCCGCCGCCGCCTCCGCCGCCGTCGTCGACAACATCGGGTGGTGTCGAGGGCGGCGAGCAGGAGCAGCCGTACGGCTACTACGACCTGCCATCCGACTTTGACCCGCAGCTGCTGTCCGAGGCCCTGTGCAGCCGGGCCAAGGCCGTCAGCGAGGACAGCCGCGCCGTCAGCTCGCCGTTCCAGCAGCGCGCCATGGAAGAGGGTCTGCACTACGTCGGCGGCAAGCACGACGACATCAGTGTCGTCGTCTCGGTCGTCGGAGACGGGCCCGATCCGTGGCAGGCGGTGCAGCGCTACCACGAGGCTGCCGCTGGTCAGGCCGTGGATGTCGAGGCGGATCGCTCGCAGGTCGCTCATACTGCCGACGCTGCCCTTCCATGAGACGGTACAGTCGGGTTTGCAGCGGTCGCTCCGCCAGGGCGGCGAGGAGGGATGGCTTCACCTAGCTCAGGGCGCGCCCGCACCCTAGAATGCCGGGGCGGACGGCGTGCAAGGAGGCGACGAATTGGTCTATACAGCATCGCGATGGCATCGAGACACAGCTTGCCCAGTCTGAGATGCACGACACGAGCGGGCCGGGCCCCGACGCGATTCTGATAGCGAGGTTTCCGTGCAAGGCAGATTCCCCTTCAAAGCATTCAGTGCGAGGCATCATGCGTCTCCGGTTCAGCTCTGAAGTTGTGGCGAGGGGCCAGCGCCCAAGATGGCCCTGAAGCGCTGAGCGAGAGAGCGGGCGGGCTGGGCGGTTGGCTGCGGGGGGTTCGGATTTCGGCCTGGCCCCAGCCTCCCTCGCTCTGCCTGGGCTGGCCTGCTGGCCTGCCTGGCCTGCCTGGCCTGCCAGGGTTGGGCGCTCAGACGCGCGGCGGGCGCGTCGGCCCTGTTCCTGTTTTTTCAACTTTGGCTGCCGCGCCCGCGCCCACGCCCGTGCTCGCTCGAGGCGCGAGGCCAGCTGCCA